CGATTTTTCGACTTTACCGGCCGTTTTCGATCCGATCCGTTCCTCTCACCGCGACGGCTCTCGCCCGCCCGTAAAGCGCCGACTGTCTACTTTCCGAAACGGTACCTCTTTCCTTCCGAACGTACCGCGAACCTCCTAAAAAACCGCGAAAACCGCGTCGACGTCGCACGGCCTGACTCTAACGTCACGTGACCTTTTAAGAAAAAACAATCGATCACCGCTTAATATAGTCGACTAGCGCAGTTTCTGGCATGCTAACGCTATGCCAAATATTGTATGTTGATGTCTTTATTTAAAACGTCACGTAGCGCAGTTGCTGGTATGCTAATGCAATGTTAATGATATACTTTATCTCTATCTCTAATGATTTTTTATCCTTTATCATCTTTGATCTGTTATCTGGTATCTGACATCTGACATTATCTGTTGTGAGTTAGCAGTTGTTAGTTAACATCTTCCATATAGCATTAAAAATACCTTCTATAAAATTGTATAACATACTTAGATTTATGTGAGGAGTCGGCAACGTCGCATCTGTCGTTGTTAATAACACAGATGGCGTTATAAAATATAGCATACAGCATTAATGTCCTCTACAAAAATTGTATAATAAACTCAGATTTAAGTGAGGAGCAGGCAACGTTGCATATATATCTGGCAATCACGTGATGTGCCAAAAAAAATAGCGCTTGACTGCCATAAATCAATCGTGTTCGCCTATGGACAGCACGGGACTGACTGTTCTTTTTTCAGTGTAAATGTTTTTTGTTTTGTGATGTTAAGTCAATGTCATAGGTTTTTTCTAACCTAGAAAATACAACATAATGAAAAGAAAAATTATGTTTCTGAAAGTTAATTCCCAAATGTCATTATATGAAAAGTATTGAGATTAAAACAAATCATTGTTATGCTATTTTTTCAAAAAACACTGGATAACATTATCCGTATCTACGTATGTGGAGGATCTGAAAACAACTGTAATTATGTGGTATTCACCACACCATTTGTTCTATTCTTTTATAATTTCTTAGAACATCAATATTTCTTTTAGTGCTAATATGCTTTAGGTTGAAAACAAAGCTGTCCATGTTTATATGAAAATTTCGTTTTTAAATTGACCAAGCATTCGATGGTTAAAGTATGTCTACATATTTTATTAACACCCATCATATGTAAACAATATAGATTTTAATAGTATAGTTATATTAAAGCATTATTAACAGTTATTCAACATAAAAATTATACTGGTGCACATAACGAAGGTTATGTATTATAAACAAAATGCTGTTCTAACTTGGCGCCAAGTTATAACTGCAAAAAATGTAGAAAAGGCCAGCTTGGAATTTTCCTTACTTTTCTTGTACAAAATTATCAATGGACACATTGATTGCCCCCAACCATTAAGAATCACCCTGTAGTTCTCTGATTGTTCAGAAAGCTATGTTATAAAGATGTATTTTTATTGATTAGAAAAAAATTTCATACATTCTGCTGTTCCATCATTTTTATGAATTATCAGTTGATTTGTCCAGGCATTGTTTAGTTTACAAGACGTCTGAATGTTTGAAGTTCTTTTCAAATAATGATCTGAAACTTAATGTTCTTTTCCCAAAATAATAATATATCATAGTTTAGCAAAATATCTATATCAAGTTGCTGTTATACTGGAGTATTTAAAGTTCCGGTGGATTTACAAAAGAGAGCATAGCCTATCTGACACTGCCATGTGGGCATCCATGTTATTGTTCAATAACATATGGCTTGGATGGCATTGAAATTATAGTCAGCTTTGCATATCAACCCTGCTGCTCTAAGAATGGATGATTTGAAATGAAGTGTGGAAACTGTTTTCGACAAAAAGCAGTATAAATCATCACTGGTTATTGAGCCATATAAAAACTTACAAATATTGTTTGCAAATCTCCTTCAGAGCTGTGCCTTTAGGTTAGATCACAAGTAATCTCCGAACTTCTGATAATTCTCAGGATCTCAGGGGTTGACACCGGTGGCTAAACTCTTCTGTTCAAAAAGTTATACGGAGATTTCAACAGGTATGATCTTCAAATGTTACACTTCTCAAATGAGTAACTGCTGCATTTCTGATCTTCCTCAGCATTTCCAGAAGCCTATCTATTGACTGGAAACATCTTACCAATACTAAAGTTTTGATTTGGAGTTTGTCTTATAGTATTTACAAATATATTAGAACTGTGGGTATTTACATGTTTATACTTCGCAATTCTGAACAAAAGGCACATGTCTCAAATAATATAATAGGGACGTTATTCAATCAAAATGAAATGTTTATGTTAGAAGAAATTAAAATGGCTTGCGAAGTAAGGTTATTTTTGCAAAGCACACAGCTATAGGAAGAAATCTACCAGAAATTTGAATCTGACCAATCAGACAACGTCAGTTGTGAATAAGCGGCACATTTTTTGAGGGTACAACATGATTGTCATATTGTGCACCCACAACACTGCTTTGTTTCCCATTCGCTCATGAGTTTCATCCCTTTGTATAGCGCCATAAAGAAGCCTTCCGGAAATTTAAATCTGACCAATCAGACAATTTTTGGAAGGTGTGACATGGTTGTCATATTGTGCACCCATAGTAGTGCTTAGTTTCCCATTCCCTCATATGAGTTTCACCTCTTTGAGTATAAGGTTAAGTAACGTGTTTTGTGTATACAACCAGACATACGCGTAACTGTAACGACTGTTGCAACCACTTGGCTGTTATAAATACACAGCTATATTTAATCTTGTAGACTTCTGGTCTCTTTAGAGTGGATTAAAATTAAGTGTCATGTAAAATTGTGGCACTAATTAGGGTTTACAATCATATTTAAGCCGATAATGACTTGTATAAACTCCTAAATTTCAAGTTGCCTAGTTGTGGGTAAACATTGAAACGTTGCCAAATCGTACTTGACTGTTATTACCATTATAGTCCGGTATGCTTAGAATATAGAGATTTTAAATCTATTCAAAAATATTTATTTTCACGCCTAAAAAAGGATAATGCTTATCGGTATAATCCAATATTGGATGAAGTGATCGTCATAAAGCCGAAAATGGTACGTTTTAGATGTTTCGGTACCATGCGCTTGATGGAGTAATTTTAAAATATCTAAAATTTTCAATGGAAACGAATAATGATGAAAACAGTTGCAGATTTGAATCCGAGGTATGAGCTTTCTTATGTAAAAGCCGCCAAGTCCGTATCTTTATTATCTTCGGAGAATATAGACTATAGACAGTGAAAATAGAAAAACCCTCTTTAATCTCCTACTATTCTCTATGTTTTAGGGCTGTGGTGTCAATCGTTCCTACAATTGTTATGACCTCATTAATTGTCATAAATCAAATCCAAGGGAATAACCACAATGTTTGTGTTATGTGCCGCGGTTATAATATGATTCAAGATGACACACGGGTTGATGACGTCAGTTACACGAATCGCTTGAACGCATTGGTTTTAACCGCGGATTTGTTGCAAGTTGTTTATTTTAGAAAAGCGCGTATATGATTTCTGATTATTTTTATTATCACTTAATAATTGGTGCTTTTTCGTTTACAACTGTATATGGAAAGTTTAAATAAGAAACCTGTCATAATATTCATGGGAGAAATGTTTTTTCAGATTTTTTTTTTAATGATGGAACCATGGCTTTGTAGCTATGATCACTTTCAATTCTCTAAATTTTTCCGCGTGTCAAAGAAAACATTTATTGATTCAGCAGAAATGATGAAAAAAGAAATTAGCAAAACCGTATACAGGTGGATATCATCTAGTCAGTTTATATGACCATATTTTAATATTCTTGTGGTATATGGCTACACAGGATAGTTTGTTAAGCATAAGAACTACATTTAAAGTGCTCCCAACAATAATGAGTATAATTAATAAGGTGCTCCACTGTATGGTAAAACTGAAGTCAGACTGTATCAATGTTCTCAAAAATGAAGCTGAAGTACAATAATAATATCCAATACTCGGCAAAATTCTAACTGGTCACATTTCAAATAATAATCAGAAATATAAAACTACTTTTGAGTTGGGTAAATACCATAATTTTGCGGTGATAACTATGACATATAACAGCTGATTCGTGACGTCACGGATCTTATAACCAAATTGATAATTACACTCGGTTGAACCGATCGGTAAATACCAATCCAAAATGGTAAATACCATTTCCATTTGGTTATCCGCTTGAATTTGATTATAGTTTGTACAGTTTTTCAGAAACGTTTCTGTTGTTCCGTGTCAGCGCTTTATTTTCAGGTTATGTTTTATTAGCCTGAAATTTCGTATCATTAAAATAAAACAACCTCACAATAGGACAGCCCTGGCAATGATATGGAACAGTAGAAATCTAATACATAAACCTTTTTGAAGGATAGAAAAGAGTATGAAAATGAAGGTTATAACAGCGTTTTACGAGACAATTGTAGGAACTATTGATGATAGCGCCCTTAATTGCCTAGTTGTTTTAGTGTGTTAATTAAATGCTATATACTGTATGTTACTTCTACCTTTCCCTATCCTTCTACCATTTTTTAATTCTATACGTTTAAAACTATTTTCAAAAAGATCAGAACTTCTGAACGTCAAAGAATGAGGTTTGAGCAATTTTTACTTCTTTTTTTTTCACTATCAATGAATCGATTTCTAAAAATTATAAGGATTTTTCGTTCTTGGTATAGCAATACCTTGCTTAAAAGAAAATCATTTACTCTATAAGTTAGGTAGTGATTATTCACAAGAAATTTGTACGCCTTGACGATAGTAAGTGTATCTTCTAGTGACACAATAAACACCAGAATCTGTTTTAGCAGATGGAAAATTTCTATTGTCAAAATAAATTTTAATAGCGGTACGATGTGATCTGAAATATTAATATTTCGTAAAATTGTGACTGTTGAAAACAATTTGACGAATTTTCTTTTAAGCTGAAAGTATATACAGTATAAGGGATAAGGAAATTAAACAAGTGATATTCAATTATATATTGATTTATTTTTGAAAAATTACAATTTATTAGATTTTACAGCTAACAATTAATATAAGAAAATTGGAAAAGTGATAAAGAATGATATACAGGGTGATTTCAAAGTTGAGTCATTTATTTTAACAGTGAGTAGATCTGATCAAAAGAAATGTTTTTTTCCTTTACCATTTTTCTGGTAAAATTAAAGTAACAAAGTTATAGCCCTTTGGAAGTTTGAGTACCGCCCTGTCTCAATAACATCATGTGCTCGTGTTTGGCAACAACGGATATAATCCACCTTATCGGTTCATCGCATCGGAAACAAAAAAGCGAAAGAATTTGGAACGATGTTTATTTTATTCAGTTCAGTTATACATACAGTCAGTGTCAGTCGGTAACGCGTGTGAATAGTGTCTGTTGCGTGGCTCAAACGAAATAAAAAATGGCACATGTTTATGCGTATCGGTTTCCCAATCGAGTGCAACCAACCCCTCGTGCCTTTGTTAATGTAGTACAACGGGCTCGTGAATCAGGTGACTTCAGACCTCACAGGGGACCTCACGATCAAATACAGGTCCGCACTGAAATACTTGTCGGGAGGATACTTTATAAAACAAGGTAAAAATTTTTTTTTATTTTTTTTTTATTTTTACACACATATTTTGGTTTATCTTCCTTCTACAATCATTATCTGAAAATTAATGACTCAACTTCAAAGTCACCCTGTATGTATTCATTGTAAAGTCTATTAGGTTTTATAACAATTGATATTTTTGAATGGCATTTTCTATCATCGTCGAAGTATAATTCGCTTAGGATCTAACATCAGCGTGAAGGTATTAAATACCTAAAAAAATTTATTAAATATAAAATTATATCTAGGAGTATATGTGTATTAAAATAACTTACATAAAAATTTTTGATTATCAGATTTTACTATGTTGATGTGATAATTTTGTAGTATTGTAGTTGTACATAGTAATAGTATAATAATGGGTACATATTATTTAGGTGGACTCTGTTTTTGCTTTATATAGTTATGTGTTCTACAATTTTAAATATACTGTAGAAAGAATCTGAAATGGCAAGATTATATAGTAAATTGCTAGTAAAGTGGCATTTCGTTTTTGTTTTTGGAAAAAAAAATTTACCTGACTGCCTTTAGTTTTCATTAAAGTTTGCTTTTAAAGTTATCCTTCATCTATAGTTTATTATCAATACAGCTGACAGGGACTGCGAGGAATATTGTTGATTTCTTTGTAGAGAGATCGTCCATAGTGGCGTGACAATTTCTACTTCTGAACAGGTTGCAAAGTAGAATTCACATCAACATTTTGCAACATTTATCATCATTAAACAGAAATAATTAAAACAGTGATCTGTAACTGATTAATGTTAGATGAAAAGGATTAATTTGCAGCTCTCAGCTAGTCCATGTTCGGACTACCCAGGACTCACCGCGCGGAGGTAGCTGCAAGTCGAGTCCCACCCTCCTTCCACCCGTCTTTCAGTTTCAATAAAATGATAAATACTTATTACAAAAAGAAAAAAAAAATGAAACTGTAAGACGCACAAAAATTAAACGTAAAATCTGATTATTCAAAAATTGAAAACAAATACAAAACGACTATGAATAATATATATCTGAAAAAAAGGAAATCTAAATAAGTAAATAAATATTTATTTGAACAAATGGTAAATGGTTGTTGAATTAGGTTTTTTTATAATCCTTGCATACATTAAATTTGCTTCTCGATTTGTACAAAAAAAAAAAACATTTACCAAAACTTTAATGTATCATCTAAGTTACTTCGCTCTCTTGTTTGTTATTTATTTCATTGATTTTTTTGTTTCCTTGTTCTATAATTTCAAGTATACTGAAAACAATTGGTAACGGAAAATTGTATTTCCCATCTATTTTCGCAAAAAATGATTGCCAGTGTTTATCATTGTTTCTCATTAGACTATGTTTCCTAAGTTATTCTACTTCCAGTATTCATATTGCAAAAATTATCTAGGTAGATCATATCCCTTTTTCATATGATTTCATTTTCCATCATGTCATCTGAAAAAAAAATTATAATGCAGGACTTTTTGTTAAAATGTCAGATTCTTAGAAATATTTAATATCTGTGTTTGTGAAAAAATATAGTTGATACCACTAAAATGTACATGAATGTTTTCAGAACAATATCTTATATCAAAGAAACTTACGTCAGATGTTTCAGACATTAGTATCCATTCTGTAATTGTATAGATATATGGTTTGCTATAATAATGCGTAAACACTATTTAAGTGGATTTTCTTTCTGTTGTGTCTTTTGTTTTGTAATTTTAATTTTACTGAAAGAGAAACCTGAAAATGGAGAAAATGCAGATGATATAGATTGCATTTTTCATCTGTTTTTGGAAAAACATGATTGATTGTCATCTTTTCCTATTATAGTTTGCTTCCAAGTTGTCTTTTTCTCAGCATTAATATTGCAGTTTATGGTTAAGTCGAGTTTTTCTTCTTTATAAGGTTTATTTTTCCAAGCTGTTTCTGTTACATTAGCATTATGGTAAATAGCAGACAACATATAATCACAGATTTTTAGACCTTCCAAATGTGAGCGTTTCGTAATTTTAGTGATCTAATATTGGATGCACATTAATCAAGTGGGGTTTTGCTTTTTCATATATTGTTTTGTTGTTTAGTATTTTAAATAACCTGAAAAATAAACCTAAAAATGGAAATATTGTTGATGGTGTAATCTGCATTTTATATTGAAAAGTTTCTCGGACTATCTCCATCTGTTGTTGCAAACTATGCATCCTTTTTTCAGTATTAATATTGTAGTTTTTAGCTTGTAGGTTCATCGTTCATATTCATTACATAGTTTATTTTTTCAACGATTCATCTAAAAAACGTAAATGGACATACATTTTTTGTCAACAAAACTGTTTATATCTTATAAATATGATATGGTTTTTGGTAAATAAGTCGTAGCTGATAGGATTAAAATGTACAATAAGATGTTCAGAAGAATATTTGTGAAAAATATTTTGTATAACTTACATAAAAGTCCTTATTTGACCCATTAGTATTGTATACACAGAATAGTATATGGTAACATGATTTTGCTTGTGAAATTATGGTTCCTCCACTACCATTTATGTTGTAATTTATAGTTAGATCAACCTTTTCTATTTCTTTATGTTATTTGCTTCTGTAGCGGTTGAGTACAATGGTCTTTGAAATATATCTACATTCCATATTGTATAATTTTAAATAAACTGAAAAATAAAGCTAAAAATGGAAAGATTGTTGATGGTGTAATCTGCAGTTTGTATTGAAAAGTTTCTCGGACTATCCCCATCTGTTGTTGCAAACTATGCATCCTTTTTTCAGTATTAATATTGTAGTTTGTAGCTTGTAGGTTCACCGTTCATATTCCTTGCATAGTTTATTTTTTCAACGATTCATCTAAAAAAAGGGATTAAATTGTACAATAAGATGTTCAGAAGAATATTTGTGAAAAATATTTTGTATAACTTACATAAAAGTCCTTATTTGACCTATTAGTATTGTATACACAGAATAGTATATGGTAACATGATTTTGCTTGTGAAATTATGGTTCCTCCACTACCATTTATGTTGTAATTTATAGTTAGATCAACCTTTTCTATTTCTTTATGTTATTTGCTTCTGTAGCGGTTGAGTACAATGGTCTTTGAAATATATCTACATTCCATATTGTATAATTTTAAATAAACTGAAAAATAAAGCTAAAAATGGAAAGATTGTTGATGGTGTAATCTGCAGTTTGTATTGAAAAGTTTCTCGGACTATCTCCATTTGTTGTTGCAAACTATGCATCCTTTTTTCAGTATTAATATTGTAGTTTGTAGCTTGTAGGTTCATCGTTCATATTCCTTGCATAGTTTATTTTTTTAACGATTCATCTAAAAAAAGGGATTAAAATGTACAATAAGATGTTCAGAAGAATATTTGTGAAAAATATTTTGTATAACTTACATAAAAGTCCTTATTTGACCCATTAGTATTGTAGTAAGTATGAATACACAGAATAGCATATGGTAACATGATTTTGCTTGTGAAATTATGGTTCCTCCACTACCATTTATGTTGTACTTTATAGTTAGATCAACCTTTTCTATTTCCTTATGTTATTTGCATTTGTAGCGCTTGAGTACAATGGTCTTTGAAATATATCTACATTCCATATTGTATAATATTTGTCCAAGAAAGAATTTCTTATTATTTTTCTTCATTTTACTGGATTATGCTGCTTTGCAATAGCTCATTATATACTACGTTAACAGTGTAAGAGTGATTATTTGGAGTTTCAGCTACATGTTGACGGTCACCTATATTTATCATTTGAATCTTGAGGTTTTCAAAACTTCTTGCTCTTGATAGTGCAACATACAGTTGTCCGTGATCAAATACTGTTACTGGTAAAAATAAGCCGACACTGTTCAAAGTTTGACCTTGACTTTTATTAATTGTCATTGCAAAAGCCAGACGTACAGGGAATTGTCTCCTTTTCAAGTTGACTGGTAGATCAAGAGAATTTAGAGCGATATTATCAACTCTGGAAATAAATTCGATCGAAGGTTCATTATTAGATTCTTCCACTCGTTTCGCTTCTATAAAATTTTCGTGTAAATTATGAATCAATAAACGTGTGCCGTTACATAAGCCTCTCTTCACATCTAAATTCTTCGTTAAAATGATAACTGCGCCAATCTTTAGTGTAAGTATGTGGGGAGGAAGTCCTGGAGCATCCAAAGAATTTAAAAAGTCTTGCGGCCATGCGGAATCTAAATCATCAGCAGCATTTTCGGTTGTATCGTCTTCTCGGATAATACTATCGACACTTAGGTATTGCCGTGACCTACCTGGCAGTTTTTCTAAAACAACTGAATTGATATCCTTGACATGAATGTTTAGTGGAGACAAAATCGCTTTTTGTAATAATGTGAAATCGTGTTCAGTTAAATTACTACCGTATATGCTTTCAGTAACATCTTCTACAATGATACGATTAGGAATTTTAACTATAGTGTCTCTGCTATTTTCTAAGCGACGTAAAATTTCGGAATTATTTCCTATGGTCATCAGCCAATCTTTGAATTCGTTTTCTTGTGGCAATGCTCTAACGTTCGTAACAAGATCGTACTGAACAAAGTATTGCCATAGTTGGGAACATTTCACTGATGCAGAAATAGTTTCATTTTTGCCTGCCAACGGAACGATAGGTGCGCATTGCCTGAAATCACCTAGAATTATGATAATTTTGCCGCCAAATGGAATGTCATTGTTCATTATTTCTCTTGTCTTTCTATCTATCTCATTGAATATACTTTTATGTACCATAGATATTTCATCAATGACAATAATTTTCGAATATCTAATATTATCAGCAATCGTACTCTGATTGCGAATCCTCGACGTTGAATTTTCTAGAAATGGAACCGGTAACATAAAAGAAGAATGAATCGTTTGGCCATTTTTCAATAAGCTGGCTGCGATGCCAGTATAACACATAGCAATATAACGGTGATTATTTCCTAGTAAGTAAGCCAGTAGTGTATTCAACAGAAATGTTTTTCCTGCACCTCCAATTCCGTTAATAAAAAATAGACGATGTGGAACCCTTTCGTTTTCGTTTAGGGCCAAAAGTATGTCGTTAAAAATAAGGCGTTGTTCTTGGTTTAACAGAGGAATGTTCCTATTAGCAATTTGTTGTTCGTCTGCTTGGTCATAATTGTATTCATCTTCGATTAGGTGTTCTACTGGTTCAGTGGGTAAGGGTAGTTGAAAGTCTCTATTTGATTTGCCTAAAAATAAAAATGTATGTGATTGAACAAATATTATATAATTATGCTGGGAAATTACATATTAATATTATTTTAAAATAATGTAGTATAGGTATAAAATCGATTGAAACAAAAAAATGTATTATGTTATGTTAAATTAATAGTGTTAAAGATATTGACGTAATGAATTAATTCATATTTTTTTAGCACGATAGTGTTACCTAGAAAATGATTAAATTTAAAAAATTTCGAATACGGAAATTAATGATTTCAGTATGCTTAAAAAATGTAAAGTAAAAATAAAAAGTTATTTGAAAACATAGGCATCAATTTTAAATGAATTAATAAAACTAATTATTGATAGAAATACTAACCTTGTAGTGTTAGATATCGATTGATGTAAGCCAAAGCATAGTTGTAGGCTAGTTCGTTATTATTTAAGCGTCGTATATAATCTTCGGATAAATGATATTTAAATTGTTCCCATAATGTTAACGGATTTTCGATTTCACAAAAAAGTAACATTTGTGAAAACATACGACGAAGAGCTCGTGGAATTTCTACGCGTACAGCCTCTTGCAAAGTAGAAAACCAAATGCTATCGTCCGTGAGAAGGTTCATCGCAATAGCAGCGTCACGGAACGTTTCGTACGTACGGCCATGTACAGTTCGAAGGTCTTCGAATGATCTACATCCTGTTTTATGCAAAAGAAGTTGACGAAGATAAAATCGTTCACCTTCTCTAGGATGAACAAAATATAACCTAGGAATTAAACGATCAAAATTTCGTTGACGTTTTACCCAATGTCTTGTTTGACTTATTTTCCACACATACTTATAAGGTATTTGTACGTAAGTGTATTGCCTAGCTTCTTCGTCTTGTACATTCAAAGCGAACCATCCTGTTAGTGTAGTGTGTTGTGTTGCGGCTCTTTCTACAACGTCAGGGATGGTACTATTTGTATTAAAATAGACTTGTTGCATATTGGGAAGATGTACAGTAAGTTTGATGATAGCATGAGACATATCGTGCATTTCGAATGTATAAATTCTCCACATTGCCTCAGGTGCGCTAACATAGCGAACGTCCATGAACGTTTGAATTTCGTTGTATACAGGTTCCTGAATAGTTGTTGTTTGACCGTCTTGTTCCTCTACAGTTCGCACGACAATTTGAGCTCTATCAAATCCCTTATATATATATTTAAATAAATATTTCACGCTTTTTATTGAAGAACAAGCCTCCACGTTAATATGAGCTTCGTATTTTTCAAGTAGATAAGCATTGTATGGTACAACCCAACCGTTATCTACTGTTCTTCTACCTATATGTATAGGTACTTCTATTGGCCGTCTTTTATATAGCGGATATCCAGAGGAATTGTATAATGTATCTTCACGCAAAGATTTCGGGAATTGTTTGCTGCAATGTCCTTCGTCATCTAAGCATCGAGCAGCAGTACAAGGTCCATGAAGCATATGTACTTTGACCAATTCGTGCAAGTTGGGATGCGTGATAGGGTCGGGAAATTCTGCTGAAATTAAACGGTCGATTGCTGCAGAGTCCAAGATTTTATCTGATCCTTCCAACCAAATCAACATATGCGCATGAGGAAGTCCTCTTTTCTGAAATTCTATCACGTAAACGTAAGCAACGCAAATTCCCATGACATGTCGTTTATCAATATCTTCTATTAATTCCTTCAATTTGCTCTTAAACACCCTCGAAACAAAATCGGGCCTATTTGAGGAATGTTGGTTTGTATCTAGGTTATTCCTAATTTCAGGCCAAACAGGATTGCAAGTAAATGTTAGGAAAATATCTGGTTTCCCATGTTTTGTGACTATAGACATGGCATCCAAATAATTTTGTCTAAATGCGCGTGGGCTTCCTATGAATGTTGACGGTAGGATGAAAATATTGCCTGGTTGATAGTGAACATCAAGTTGTCTAGAGTCTAAATAGTCGATTAGTCCTTGGAATATTTCTTGCCTGATGCGTGGTTGGTTTTCAGTAATAAATTGTAATCGACTCTGTTCTATTTTTACGTATGCATCTACGATGTATTGTTGCGTCAGCTTGCCTGCCATTACAAATTGGTTGAAAGTATCTGGTCGAACAGCTATTCTAAAACTATAGTATTCCAGTAAAGATACATCACCTCTTCTACGTTGATGCGCTGTTCCAGATTGCCAGCCTGGCTCACCTCTTGGATGTAATAGGGGATATGTCATTGCGTCGCAGTTAACACTAAGATATGGTAATTCGTGGATGATTTGATCGTTGTCTCGACAATAAACATGTAAGCAACGATCCAGGGGCGGTCTTCCATCTTCAGAAATAAATACGGCTGCTATTTCATTCGCTTGTACTGCGCCATATTGTCTAAAATTAATATCCCGAGCACGGTTGTTATTGATGTACAATTCTAAAGTTAGTTGACGATTGTTATGTTGTTGTTCCTGATAGATATCTTTAAGAAATCTATACGCTTGAGCAAAAGGATTGTGGCTGTGCATGTAATTAGAAATAACATCGACGGTTTCTCGATTTAATTCCGTTCGATTTTGTGGGCCAGCAGACCGAAGCTGATTTGCCAGTTCGGTATCCAAAAAATATAGATTGCCGTATTGTCTGCGTTCATTAGAAATATTTGTTGAAACATTTGATATATAATGTCTTATTTCTCCCTGTACCTGTAAAGAAAAATAAATTCATTATGGAAGGGATAACGAATTTATTAATATTATAAGTGGTTTAAAAAAATGAAATAATTGGTGTCTAATATATAACTGTTCTTTGTATATGAATAAAATAAATAGTATTGTAAAAAAGATACAAGTAAGATATGAAATATATACTGGGAAAGTTTGGGAAATCTCGAAACTGGATATGTTACAGACCAAAATGTGTGAATTGACTTAAACATTATCTCAATCTAAAAGTTGATAGTTTGCGAGATACAGGATGTCAAAGTTACAATTTTATTTTCTATTTTTCCTTAATGTTTGAGAAGTATTTCAGATGTTGCCATAAAACACGGTATAGGGAGGTCTTCTACTATAAGAAACAAGAATTCGTTATTTTTCATGGCCAAACTTTTTGAGGGCGCCACATACAGTACTATTTCGGTAAATAAATCATCATAACTTTATTGTGCTATTTTAACAACAGTTAGAAGTGTATAAAGCTAATAGTTTTCGAAAAAGTAGTTTTTAAAAATACCAATGCATTATTTGTATTATGACGATAAATTATTTTTACAACATAATAATCAAATTGCTTTAGATAATATCTGGGTAGCGTTGCTATGGTTTCTAATGTTCGGCATAAGATTATTTTAAGGTCTATGAATAATTTTAAGTTGACAATAAAACGTTTACCATCATGGAATATAGGTTTGATGAATATTCTGATGAGAATTTAATATATGGATTAGTAAAATGTAGTGGTTTAAAAGCACGAAGATTGTACGCTGACAGATTCTCTAATAGTCACTTGCCTAATTCAAAGATTTTCCAACGAAACGATCAGTGGTTACGAGAAACTGATAAGAAATGATTATAGTCTTATTTTGAGTAGTAAATACCATTTGCATTTTAGTTAAATTTGCTCGAAGTATGGGCCAACATACTGGAGCTCTCAAAATTGTACGTACAGCTGAAATTGAACAAAATGTTTTAGATGTTGTCTTTGAAAATTGTACAGTTGAGGTTGGGAATGTAGTTCGAGAATATCAAGTTTCCAAATGTTCCATATATACTACTTGCAAAAAGTATATGGTTTAAGAGCGGATGAAGAAACCGCAAGGGTAGAAATTTATACATGGTTCTTAACTCGCAAAATCTTTACATGTATGCAATATATCCTCATGAAATAATATAAACTTGCCAAAAAGTACAATTTCAAATTAATTTATATAGAAGAAATGTTCTTCTAGGGTTATTTAAAACGACGCATTTACAATACGTCAGTGGAAATTGTAGATGATCTTCAACAAAAAATGTTCTACCATAGTTAGGAAATGAAAAATAGTATCGACGTTTTGGAGAATGTAGCAAGGATTAGTTCGTCGAATTTGAAAGTGTGTTAGATAAGGTAGTGCTCATTTTGAACAACTTTTGTAGTTATTATTTTCGTTTAGTAGTTTTGTTGCCATCTTCATTTATTATTGTTAAAAATCATAGCAATGCTACTCACATATTGTATAAAACAATTTGACTATTATGTTATAAAAATGATGTATCATCATGGTATAAACAATACAATGGAACTTTAAAAAACAAATATCTCGAAAACTATTAGCTTTAGACATTTCAAACAAGTAAACCTTTTTTGTTGTGAAAATACGGAAAAATAAGATTTTTTGTTTAGTTGTATACAGAGTAGCAAAAAAAGTTATGATAAGTTATTGACCGAAATAGTACTACAACTGTCGCTCTGTATAACTTTGCCCAAGAACAATATTGAATTTTTGTTTCTCATACTAGAAAACCTCCCTATACCGAGTTTTATGTCAAAATCTAAAATACTTCTCAAGCAAAAAGGAAAAATAGAAAATAAAATTGTAACTTTGATGCCCTGCATCTCACAAACTATCAATTTTAGGATTAAGATATATTTAGGTCAATTCACAAAATTTGATCTATAGTGTATGTTATGCTACACTGTATGTTTCTTTTTTTCAATACACATTGTAATGGAAAGTTTCAAAATATTTATATCATCAAAATATATATATATATATATATACAGGGTGACTTCGAAGTTGAGTCATTTATTTTAACAGTGAGTAGATCTGATCAAAAGAAATGTTTTTTTCCTTTACCATTTTCCTGGTAAAATTAAAGTAACAAAGTTATAGCCCTTTGGAAGTTTGAGTACCGCCCTGTCTCATTAACAATATTATGTGGTCGTGTTTGGCGACAACGGATATAATCCGCCGTATCGGTTCATCGCATCGGAAACAAAAAAGCGAAAGAATTTCGAACGATGTTTTTACAAGTATCTCATTCATTTGTATACAGTCAGTGACAGTGAATGGTGGTATCTGTTGCGTGGCTCAAACGAAATAAAAAATGGCACATGTTTATGCGGATCGGTTTCCCAATCGAGTGCAACCAACCCCTCGTGCCTTTGTTAATGTAGTACAACGGGCTCGTAAATCAGGTGACTTAAGACCTCAGAGGGGACCTCACGATCAAATACAGGTCCGCACTGAAATACTTGTCGGGAGGATACTTTATAAAACAAGGTAAAAATTTTTTTTTATTTTTTTTTTATTTTTACACACATATTTTGATTTATCTTCCTTCTACAATCATTATCTGAAAATTAATGACTCAACTTCAAAGTCACCCTGTATATGATAAAACTAAAATTCCACGACTTGGTTTGGTGGGTTATATTTCAGATCAAGCTTATTTTTTTCCTGGAAAGTACCTATAGAAGTATGAGGTTTTGTAAAATATTAAGATTCTAGGTTGAATGATCCGATTTAGATATCGTTATCCTAATTGTAATATCACGTATCATAAAATTTGCTGAAATTGAGATTCTAGCATAAATAAAAAGTAAGCAGTATTGCACACCGTCTGTAAAAACCACGTATCAGTTTAACCAATAAGAAACGAGCTATTTCATTTCAAAGAATACCGCGTAACATCATCCATAAAGTTAGCTGAAAAAATACCTCGTATGAACAGCAGTTTAGACGTGGTCCTTACGAAGTGCGCATCACGCTGCGACAAGTTAGAGGAATAAGCTGATTTTAACAAACGTACGTTGATAATTATCATAATTAGAGTAGTATATATTAGCGTTAATATACTGAACATGTCATTTATTAGTCTTGTTTGAGTAATTAAGCAATACTTTGAATAAACAAGCCGTTTTTATTCAAACTTGATGATACGTGTTTATCTCAAATTATGTCCCATTGTAATTCTTTTTGTAGTTGGATGATACGAGTTATTGTTTATTACTATTCCAAGCATTTAGCGAAAGAATCGGCGAAACATTAAAATGTCCTTGCTTCGTATTTCCTAATTTATAAAATTTATATTTGAAAAGCGCTGTTGCCAAAATGCTTACTTCAAGTTCAAGTAAATTGCCAAGATGTATAGTTCTAAATTAAATACAACTTTTCGGAATTTATAGGAACCTCATCCAGCCGTTAGTATCTTATAGCTTTGTTCCATTATAGATGTCAAGCAGAAGTAAAAGGATTCTGGCCGCTGCTTTGGAAACGAATAAAAACAGCCAGGTTTTAGAAGAAGCGCTTACACATTCAATAATTTTTACAAATGAAGATGTTATTATTGAAAATATGACTAATGATGGATTTTCGAAAGGAATTTCTGAAATTGACTCTGTTCTCCCACTAACGTTGAGTTACAATGATATGAATGTAGATATCATAGACGCATTGGTACATAATGCTGAACATGTGTCACCATCTAAACATGCGGACGGAAGTACAGTTTTTCTAATTGCAGCTTCAGGCGAGAACAACGTTTCCCAACTACGTTATGCTGATATAGCTTCCCAATCTGTTTCAAAAACCTGCAAACATCAAGTGAACTTTTATATGGAGAAATGAATGCAGCAGCTAGAAGACAAGACCAGTCTGTCTCAAAGGATGCTGATCGGGAGTATGAAATGGAAAAAGAAAATGAACTTGACGAACTTGATTCAGACTTTATTGATACTGAAGACGAAAATTGTACCGATGGACAAGAACTTGAACGACAGAAGAAATCCAAGAGAAAAAGGAAACCTGAAAATATTCATTGGGCTAGGGAAAAGACAAAACGTAACGGAATGGAAGGCAAGGATTATCTAGGATATAGTCGAAGCAAAACTGGTCAAATACTATACAATAGCGAAACGCAATGCAGAAGCTTAGGTCCAGCTTGCTCCTCCATGAAGTGCTTGAAATACAAAAAGAGACACTGTAATATTATAACTCATGAAGAGCGCTTGTCGATTTTTAAAAAATTTTGGACCGATATGTCTTGGGAGCAAAAACAGATAGATATATGTAGCAAGTTTGATGGAAAAGAGAGAAACCAGAAGGAAATATGTGAAGTTTCACAATCGGGAAATTGAGCTACCCACGGACTACGTGAAAGTAACAAGAGAAGCGCGATTAAAACCAGAACCGTACGAAGTTAAATACATGAACCATACGGATTTCAGAAATTATGATATTAAAGACCAAATGGTATATCATAGTATCAGTCCAGGAAAAAAAGCACATGACCCAACAGTAACTAATTTAAGAGAGATCCACTATCAATCAAAAGGCAAAATTCAAATTAATCTGCAGTTTCAAGATGAGCTCACCGACCTACCTCAAGGAATTTTAAAGAAGCCATGTATGATACACCACCAAAGACGTTATACAGATGGATTAAAAATATCAAACAAGAAATATGACCATTTGCAAGATCTGAAATCTACTCTAGCAGATGAGGTATATAGTTTCTATGAGAACCTGCCTTATGAGTAGGAAGACAAACATCCTTGTCATCTTTTTCTACTGTTTCCTTTGAAATCTCTGTATTAGTTTCATTTAAATATTGTACAACAACAATGTTCAATAAAGCCCTGTTTGGTATATTGTTTGAATAGTGAAACATCTATTTTCATTATAATAAACCTAAACACTAAGTATCATCATCAAACAGCTAAGTGCAATAACATGTATCAGAAATATTTTTCACAAAAAAATATGGAATCTTTAAAAATGATAACTAAGTATGTTTTAACCGTAAAAGTAGAAAGACGTTACATAATTTATAAGAATAAATTATATACGGCCGCCGTAAAACAGTTTTTATCATTTTCTGTAAAACGACAAAATAGATGATACGTGGTATTACAATTAGGGTAACGATATGCGTTTGTAAATCAAAATATAAATTTTAATACTTTGTCAATTCTTCAATTTCTTGCTACACCTGTTTTGAGATTGTAAACGTGTGTCCAGAGTGAATCGTTTGACCTAAGAGCGTAAACTTTCAAAAAGAATCATGTTCCATAGAGTAATAAAATTGAACCCGATATAGCTCAGAATTTTTAGAATTAAGGTTTATACTAATTTTGTAAATGTTTAATGTTGTAAGCTATTTTAAATGTCTAGCTAATAATAAACCAGTAAAAAATTTCTAGAAGAATTATTTAAACTATTTGTCAAATAAATTATATTGCAATTTGAAGGTAATATTTGACTTCGTTGGATAATTCTATTTAGATGATCATATATTATTGTACATATTGCTTTGAATTGACAGGAAGGAGTAGAAAAAAAAAAGAAAAATTGTTAACATACTAATATTTACATTTTGGTCAAAAATTTATATTTTGAGTGCCGTTCCAGAGTAAAGTGTTCATTGTAAGACTTTAAAATTTTATAAAGTCACTTCCATAGGTACTGCTTAGAAAAAAAAAAATGAATTCGATCTGAGATATGATTTGTCAGGTTACATTGTGGAATTTTATTTTTGATCCATACATCATGTTATTTTTACTGTTTACCTTGAATACATAAGGTCCTCGACCAGGCGGATTTATAGTATTGGTAGCTAGGCTGGCGAATGCGAAACTATTGTTATAATAACGCACGTTTTCCATAAATTCTCGATCTTGAAATAGTACTCTTAATTGTTCAGGATATGAATCAAATGGAGGCAGATGTACTGCACCATCCTTACAACAATTTGAATAAACATTTCTGGAATTTTTTTCACATAAAAAATGTAAGGCTCTACAGTGAGAACAGGTAAAAGTGAAAGTTCCCAATGTATATAGACCTGTGTAATGATTAGTTGCCGCCATGTAATGATTCCCTCTTCGATGAATAGTTTCAGTTACATTTTCGGCTATTATATTATTGGTATTTTCTAGTAAATTGTCTATATTAAGGTTAGCTAATATGTCATTAAGTTCATCGTGTCCCATTGTCATAGTGATATTGTCATCACTCTGTTGTTGGTTTAAAGTTGGTAAGGATGACGTTTCTATCGGTTCAATGTGTTGTAATGGGATATCAATTTCCATCCTTGTGGAAGTACTCATTGTTGGCAAAGAGGTAGTTTCTTCAATGTCTTGTTGTGACAATGCCCGTATATTTGTTGGATGGTTAACAATCTCTGAACTATTAGTACATGTCCTTTGTGGTGTGATTGGTACAGGAACAATACTGAAATAAAAATAAAATTACAAATATAATAAACATAATGTTTTCGTCCAGTCAAACAAAATTCAGAAAATGATGGATAGTAGTTTCGTGCTTTTTGGCTACACATTAGCATGGCTTAGGTATAGTTTTTTCTTTCTGCATAATGAATGAAAACATTGTGACTGTTCTTTATTTCGAACGTATGGTGTATTGAATTAAGAGTGTGCTATCTATTACACCATAATTGACTACTTCGCTCTTCGCAATGGTCGATTTTAGTGTGACAGATGGCTATTTGTGTTTTATTGAATATATATGTATATATATATGAAGTGGGTAACAGGAGAGCGTTTTTTTATTTTTTTCATGAAAACATTATAATAAATTTACCATGAGTTGTCAGTTTTCTCCATTGATCGTATTTCCGGGCATTGTACAATTTTATATTGAAGACTGATAACAGGATAACTTGAATTGTACATCGATGTCAAATAGGTTGAAGGGCATATGCATATATAACTATAAAGTTTTCGAGACGGAGACACAAAATTAAAAAATGTATGTCTGTGAGTGTATCGAACAAATATTCACATACAGGAGAAAGTTGCATGTATATGTATGAAGGAGATAGGGAATATACAAAGAGGTATTGATACTCTTACTTTGACCCATTACCAACGGTGACTACAACTATATTTATATATCCAGATACGAGTGTAACCTAAAGAAACGAAGATGGATAGGGGAAAAATGATATACAAAGTCCACAACAAGAGCCAACATATACAATGTAGTATAAAATGGCTAGAAAAGCTTTACTTTTCAATGCGAGCTGTCATCACAACCACGTGATTGGTTATAATTACCTACTGAGGTATTTTAAGTCCTAAAAATCTAAAAAGAGAAAAGAATTATGCGGAGAAAGGTATATATCAAATAGAAAAAATAATGGGTAAAATCCGCAAAAAGAAGAAAAGTAGATTAGATTAGAAAATATGATAGGTAACCCGAATGATATGTATTTCCGTTTGCTGGCTTCATTAAACCCGAAAAGAATACACATATGCAATTTAAAAAGTGAATACATATGCCCATACATCTAGATTTAGGTGCAATCTGAGGAAACAAAGATTGAAAGGGAAAAAAATGATATACGAAGTTTACAATAAAATTCAACCTTTATTCGTCATTGTCCGTCAGAGCGGTCCGAGGGACCTTTGTTCTTTGTTAAAGTATCGTGAGTCAGTAGGTGTATCAGATCTGATTGCCCAGATACCATACGAAGTCAGGGAGAAAGAAAGGAAGAAGAAAGAAAGGAAGGAAGGGAGAAGAGCAAAGAGGATGAAGTGCGCCGGTGTAAGGGACGCCTTGCTATTGTTAACTGGTATTCGGTTATTTTAAATTAATCCAAAAATTGATTAAGGAAGTTGTCTAAAATTGCACGATTTGATTTTGCTCATAGTGCGAGCTGCGTTCTTGTATGCTTGTGAACTTGCTTGATTGTATAGTCTACTGACTCACGCAACAGAGGGTTGCTGTGTGATTCTGTTTGAGTATAACGTAATTGCGCCTGATGTTTGATGTAGTCCCTTAGGTAAGGGATGTTGAGGTCTGTGTGAAGGGTGTCGTTGGAGATATACCATGGTGCGTTAGTGATGGTTCGTAAGGTTCTGTTCTGCAAAACCTGCAGATTACGCATGTGCGTTTTGGCAAGAAAACACCATGCTGCACATGAGTAAGTGATTGATGGTCTGATGATAATCTTATATAGCCAAACTTTGTTAACCAAACTTAAATTTGAGGTTCTACATAGTAAGAGGTAATAATATAAATAATATATAATATATAATAAATAATACATAGTAATTTTTTTATGTAGAAAACCCTAAAAATTCTAAAATTGAATTTTAAAAATAGAATCACACAAAAATTTTGGGGCTAAACAACCTGAGTCCGTCTCTGTTATATACGCTTACAAATAAAACTGTCTAAAGTTATTAATATTTTTGAATTCAACATAAAAACCAAGGCTAGAATACCAAATTTTAGGTCTTTATTTCAATACGTTTCGGAAATATTAAGGAAAACCCATCTTCAGGGGAGCCCTTTTAAAAGACTGTAACGCCCTTATGAGATGTTTGTCGATCTATGTTTATATAAACTTTTCTTCGTATTTTAAGCTCTAGAAACCGCTAGTAGCATATTGCACACTTTTTTTGGGACACACTGTATAACAAATAAATAAAATGATAGGTAAAATCCACTAAAATAGGAAAGTGGATTCGAACAGACAATAGGATAGATAACCCAAGTGATACGTATATCTACTTAACTATCTTATATTTCGTTTGAATCCGCATAACCCTTTGCTGTTTGTAAATTTTTTAAATTTGAAATACGAAGGCAAGTCATTATAACTGGCCACATGATTGTGATTAGATGTTGTAGTAGTAGAAGTATTTCACTCATTATACTATAATGTGTATCAAAATTACGACAGTTGAACAAATAATTTATCTATCCTAAACCTCAGACTAATTTTGCATAAAGATAGTGTCTACTACATATGAATTGAAATTTTAAGTTATGAATTTAACTTAAATTATATTTTATTATTTAATTTTGAATTAATATTAAAAAATAAATGAATTCTTCACCTTGTATTTGAAAGTCGTGATGGACCTGGTATAGCAATGAGATTATTGGGAAATGCAGTTGTAATTCTACTTGCTTCGTTAATAAAAACCTCCTCATTTGATTGGCTTGTTGAGCATTGTATTAGATGTTGCGATATCACTGGAAGTGTTGACTGCTGAGGTTCGATTGGTTTTTTAGATCTTTTCAATGGTGTTTTGCCTTTGTCCATTTTTCCCCTGAAAATATAAAATAAACAGGTAAATTGTTAGGTAAATATTTAATGGCATAATGGAAAACATGATGTTATAAGTGAAAAGCATACAAAAATGAAATTTTTGTTGTATTATTTTATTGAGAAAAAAGTTAATTTATATTAAAGACAGAAATTAAAATTTTTAAGGTATTCTAAATTGTTTCATTTCTTTCCAAGAATGCTATGTTTTAGAACTTGATACTGTTTGATTAAATGCACGCATAACTTTATTCTTATTCAGTTAATTTTAAAAATACTAAATTTTAGTTAATTATAAAACGCAACAAAACTTAATCTTGAAAAGTTCAAAAAAAAAAATTATTTTACTGGTTGCAAATATAAATTGACGTTCATAGTTTTTCGTATAGTTAAAAACTTGAAAATAATAATTTGATGATACATTTATAATAATGAATGGGAAGTACCAAGTCAGTCTATGTTCGCTTTCTTCCTGTTAAGATCATTCAGAAAATTAACATATTTTAATCATTTTAACTTTTCATCAGTTCGGATAATGGAATGCAGTTGTTTTATACAGTATAATTTGTATGCTAATCATCAAATATTTCAAAAATGTTTCAATTGTTATGATGTATTGTGGTATTGACTAAAATAATGTGAGTAACAGGTGATAATCCAATCTTGACAGTTTGAAGTATTTTGGAGGTAGATATAACTTATAAATTAAATTTAATTTTTACACACAAGCAAACAATAAAATGAACGACAATATTGTTTTATGCCATCTCTGAATGTTAGATAAACATATGCTAATATTAATATGTGACTACTAAATCAAAGAGCTTTGGCACAAATGTTTACTACGCTTAAAAGCCTTGCTTCATTAGAGCAGTATGTATATATTAGTTTTGGTTTATGGTGATTCATCATGTACAGACACAGTATTACATAAAGATTATTTATTATGATGTTTTTCATACCACATACCTAATGGTTAGGTAATATGTTGTCGGGAACAATAAAAGGTAATTATAAGCTTATGTATAAACCAAATATTAATGAAAATTAACATTATGTATAGAATTTGATTGAAAAATGTATGTATTAAATTTATATACTTACTTTGTTGTTGATTGTATAGAAATATTAAGACTTGTTGTACCATTATGAACAACCATTTGTTGTTCTGTTGTAGAAGAAAATGTAAGCATTGAAGAGGAGTGATCACTTTGGAAAGAAGCAGTAAGAGTTGCTGTATGTTTCTTTGGTTTATACAAGGTTAAATTTGTTTTATGTTTACGTTTTTTCCCTTTTACTGTGATGCTTGACTCTTCCGTTTGACTTGGAGTATTTCTACAAAACATTAAGACCAAATTAAGGTATAAAATAAAACGAATGAATACAATAAATTATTATCTGAAATGAAGTAGGACTTGGATATAAGAATGTGAAATATATAGATTTTAATAATCTACCAGATGCTATCAAATCTACAAATTTTGTTAAATTCAAAGGACAATTGAGAATTTATGTAGAAAATAGTGTTAGTGTTAAATAGATAATGACATTATATTTATATATTGTATTGTTTAGCTTGAAGTTATTTAATAAAAATTATTATTACTATACCATTATGGTGGCAAGTTATAAATGATGCCCATTATATCACTTTTCAGGTTATTCAGACAAACATATAATATTAGAGAAATGAAGGTACCTGCGGGTAATAAGGCCTGGCGGGTAATAAGGCCTATTAACAAAAATAATGCTTTCAAGTTGTTTTACAGGCACATTACTGGTTAACTATTGCTCTTTAGATGACCTTGGATTGAACACCGACCGCGCCAAATTAATTTCCACATGATCGTGGTTAGTGCAATAATACATCTCGAGTGAGTGTGCCTTGTAACAACAGTAAAAAAGCATAGTAAAAAATCGTAAGTTTCTTTTGGTACATTTTGTTAAATTCGTTTTTCTTTGCACTGAGAGTTTCCTTGTTTCATGCATCTTGTGATCACTTCTGGTCTGACTCAGATATTTGGGGCATAATACTTTTTATATTTTTTTTGTAAAATTTGGTGCGTGGTGGATAATAAGGCCTATAAAATTCCACTATAGGCCTTATTACCCTCCCTTTGTATATATGACAATAAAATGTAGTAATGAAAAGATATGCATCTTTTATCACATTCTGTTCATTATTAGAGTTTATAGCTATTCTGAAAAATGTGTATTTGTCACAAATCAACATTCTTTTCAGAGACCTTTACGATGCCTCCTAAAAGAAAAAGGGCACTTTGATCAGAGGAACAGCTAGTGGCAGCAGTTTACACAGTAGAGAGAAATATTTTGAGCACATATGCGGCAGCTGAAAGATATAATATTCCTCGAAGAACGATTCGAAGTCATCTAAGAGTGGCAATGTAAAGAAAACCCTCGGTCGCAAAGCCATACTGTCCAAAGATCAAGAATCTGAGCTGGTAAGCAGAATAATTAGATTCGCTGATAACACCACGAATCCTTCGTCGTCTGATTTACAAATTTTGCGAAATGAACAACATTAAGCACAATTTTAATATTAACCTAAAACTGGCAGGCAAAGATTGTCTATCAGCTTTCATGAAGAGAAACTCGATTATTTCCAAGCGGAAAGCGCAATTTACGAATCCGGCGAGGGCACAAAAGTTAAATAAAGTTATAGTGGATGACCATTTTGCTAAAATCATTAAGCTTTACGATCAGCTGGACCTAAAAAACCACCCCGAACGAATATATAATATAGATGAAAAGGGTTGCAGGCTGACAGTGTACCACCAACAAACTGTACTGGCACAAAAAGGGGCAAAAGGGGGTAAAAGGTTACATCCAGAATTAAATGATAACCTACCAGCAGGGACTCTTGCAGCTAAGTCAGCCAAAGGTTATATGGCTAATGAATTATTTAAAGATTTCCTAAATCATTTAGCCAAATACAAAAGCCCCAGAAGATGCCTTTTGATCTTTGATGGCGCAGCTTGCCATTTGAACTTGTCAATTGTCGACATGAGAGATTCGTTAGAAATCGACTTGTATTGTTTGCCGTCCAATACAACTTATGAATTACAATCCCTCGATAAGTCTGTATACCGCTCGTTCGAACATCATTCGGATGCAGAACTCTTTATCATTTTTGGACCAAAATCCAGGCAAAAAGTTAACAAAGGCACGATTTAATGTTATTTTTTCTAACGTTTGGTCCAAATGCATGACTCGCAGCAATATCACCGACGGCTTTAGGGCTACTGGTTTATTTCCCTTAGGGCGATTCTGGAAACAGCGTTTGCACCATCTATATTGTCAGCTATAGCTCAACCAGTAATCGAGGCTGTAGTCAAAGAGGAATGCGCCTAATGCCTCTTGCAAAGCAGCAAGTTCAAGAAAAGTGCCACGAACAATTGAAGGTCATCATATCCAAAAAGAAGCTAAATGGTCTGATAAGGATGAGGTCCTTCCCGCAAAACTTAAAAACAAGTTAAATGCCAAATATCACCAACTGTCAACATCTAGACAAGCAGCTGAAAGGACGCCCAGCAAGTTTTGTAACGAAGCCCATTCATTTTCTTCAAAAAATATTGAAGATGGGAAGAAACATTTTTATTCACTGGTCTCTTCGTCGGATTCTTCTGAAGACAAAGTTGATGAAGTGGGTGAAACTACTTTAGACACTTCTTTCCATGAACTCTTGCCAAGTCCAATAAATCAAACTGAAAAGGCACACCCAATTCGAAAAAAAGCAATAAATTACATGGGAACTTTGGTTACTAAAGATCTCTTTAAGGAAAGTAAAGGAAGCAATGAAACAATTAATACTGGAAAAAGAGCTGATTCCAAGCAGGTGAAGGCAAGTTGGTATTGTCATGCGTGTATGGAAGATAAAATAGCTGAATATGCAGCAATGCACAGAATGTGGGAAATGGTATCATGAAGAATGTGTTGGGTTGACACAAGCAGACCCTGATACTTTTGAATGCCCCGATTGTAGTTAAAATCCTATTTCACACCATAGGCATCTATTTTTGTTATCAGTGATAATGTGTTTAAGTTTGATCTTAAATACCAAATATTTCTACTTTCATAGACATTTTTTAGGTTGTTTTAGTGATAGGCCTTATTACTGTACCATCATTTAATAAGGCCTAGTTGCACTGTTTTTGAATTTTTTGTTTTATTTTATAAGTAGTAGAAAATATGATACTTTTAAATTTATAAATCAGTTATTTGGCATTGCTGGACATATTACCAATAAAAGTTCAAAACTAACTAGATGTATTGTTCATTTTCTGAATATTTTTCTTTAGCTAGGCCTTATTACCCGCAGATACCTTAATTAAAACAATACGTCAATTTAATGCAGATATTTGTGTGAAATATGTAAATTTTAAGGTTCGGTTAGATTCTCAGGATGAGTCGCCATCCCTTCGCAGACGTTTATAAAAAATAATTGTCAATATAGAATACATGCTTACATCATTGTGGAAGGACCAGGTTCCGGTTGTTCCACATTCACAGACTCTGCTATCTGTTCAATTTGGGGGTCATTTTGCATCGAACTATTTGTAGAAGTATTTGTACGATTCGTGATTGTACGTTTCTTGCCAGACCAGTTGTATCCTTTCTTTTTCTTAGGCATGTTGATGTATATATTTTTGAAATAAACTTACCTAGTATAATATAAAGCTGAAAATGAAAGTGTATAGGTATATATAACAAAACGCAATTTATGATAAAATTGTAGCTGTTTTATGTTTGCAATTGCAAGCTTTCGTGCACAAAGATATATTATGCTATCGTGCTCACAACTCACAACAACAAAACAAAATGGAAGTTTTGGAGGCAAAATCAAACTGTCATTTGTCAAAAATCAAGGTCTGAGCCGCTTTTCCATAAAACATAAAACAATTTCAAGCGGATAACCAAATGTAAATGGTATTTACCATTTTGGGTTGGTATTTACCAATCCGTTGAAGCGAGTGTAGTTATCAGTTTGGTTATAAGATCCGTGACGTCACGAATCAGCTGTTATATGTCATAGTTATCACCGCAAAATTGTGGTATTTACCCAACTCAAGAGTAGTTTTATATTTCTGCTTATTATTTGAAATGTGACAAGTTAGAATGTTGCCGGGTATTGGATATTGTTATTGTACTTCAGCTTCATTTTTGAGAAAATTGATACAGGCTGACTTCAGTTTTACCATAAAGTGGAGCACCTTATTAGTTATACTCATTACGGTTGTTGGGAACACTTTAAATGCAGTTCCTATGCTTAACAAAGTATCCTGTGTAGCCATATACCACAAGAATATTAAAATATGGCCATATAAACTCACTAGATGATATCCACCTGTATACGGTTTTGCTAATTTCTTTTTTCATCATTTCTGCTGAATCAATAAATGTTTTCTTTGATATGCGGAAAAATTTATAGAATTGAAAGTTATCATAGCTACAAAGCCATGGTTCCATCATTAAAAAAAAAATCTGAAAAAACATTTCTCACATGAATATTATGAAAGGTTTCTTATTTAAACTTTCCATATACAGTTGTAGACGAAAAAGCACCGATTATTAAGTGATAATAAAAATAATCAGAGATTATATACGCGCTTTTCTAAAATAAACAACTTGCAACAAAACCGCGGTTAAAACCAACGCGTTCAAGCCAATCGTGTAACTGACGTCATCAACCCGTGTGTCAACTTGAACCATATTATAACCGCGGCACATAACACAGAAATTTTGGTTATTCGCTCGGATTTGATTATAAATCAGCCGTGTTCGTCTATGGATAGCACTGTCTTCAGTGTATTATCAAATCTAAGCGAATAACCAAAATTTCTGTGTTATGTGCCGCGGTTATAATATGGTTCAAGATGACACACGGGTTGATGACGTCAGTTACACGAATCGCTTGAACGCGTTGGTTTTAACCGCGGTTTTGTTGCAAGTTGTTTATTTTAGAAAAGCGCGTATATAATCTCTGATTATTGTTATTATCACTTCATAATCGGTGCTTTTTCGTCTATAACAGCTAATTCATGACGTCACGGATCTTATAACCAAACTGACAACTACACTCGGTTGAACGGATTGGTAAATACCAACCCAAAATGGTAAATACCATTTCCATTTGGTTATCCGCTTGAATTTGATTCATATGTTTTCCGTTTTGTAATGTCAATGTCATTGTCATAGGTAATTTTTTCTAACCTGGAAAATAAAATGTAATACTGTTTTCTTTAAAATTAAAAGGAAATCCGTAAAACTATCAAAAAAGTGAACAATAAACACTTTGAGAAAACTTTTTCCTTTTCAAGTGGTTAAAGTGGAGTTTAAAAAAAATGTTTGTTGAAAATAAGCCCATTAGTTTACAAGCAGGTATGTAACTAAGCGATCCGCTGTGTGGGTATCTTGCTTATGAAAAATGCTGTATTTAGATATCATTGCTATTCACATGAGCTACCGTTCTTTGATAGGATATTTTCAAATTGAACTTTTGTCTTATTGTTACTATTTATTACAGAAAATGGTGCAATGCTGGGCACCCGACTGTAAGCAGTATAATGTTAGAGAAACACGTAAGATGTTCAGGTTTCCCAAAGATCCAAAAACAAGGAATCATTGGATAAAATTTACAAGGTAACACCACAAAGACCATACTGGAATTATCATTTGTTAGGAACATGCGGAACGTACAATTGAATACAATAAAAGTAATGCATTTGATTGCAGGAGAACAGTTGAACCAGATCTTGCTGCATACTTATGTAGTTGTCATTTTGTAGATGGTAAAAAAGAAAATGGACCTACACTGTTTAGGTATAATAGGGAGAAGCAATTAAACTTTACATCACCAGAAAGAAGAACCTGTAAAAAGACCATTGATAAACCTTTTAATATTGATGTAGATATAAGGTTAGTCCTACAATATCAATTTTATTCACGTATGTGCAATTTCAGTGTGTTCACAGATCTGAAAGCGAGCCACAACCATCCACCTCAGTACAAACTGATGAACCTCATACAAAAGGTTCGATGTCAAATGCATCACTAGATGCTGAAAACTATTATCTTCGGCAGGATCTGGAGCTAGCTACAGCGAACCTTATGCATCTCACTGATAGGTTTTCTTTTGATGTTGTGAAAGGAAATGACAGGCTAGTACTGGTGTATACAGGCTTACCATCAGAGAAAATATTTTTTTCTTTATTCAACATGTTGAAGGACATTGATATATATTATTATTATAAATGGAAAGTTAAAAAAATGAGAAAAATAGATCAGTTATTCATGACTCTTACTAAGCCAAGACAAAATTTCCCTCATGACGATTTAGCTGTTCGATTCAATGTATCACAGGGTCCAGTATCAAATGTTATAATAACATGGATACATTTATTTCATGAAAATATTTTCAGTAGTTTTACAAATTATAGGATAATCATAGATTGTACTGAAGTATATACATCTGTATGTCGGTCAAGTATAGCGACATGAAAACTAACATATAGCTCATACAAATACAGAAATACCTGCAACAGGTTAGTTGGTGTATCTCCTAATGGAGCACTTACTTATATGTCAAGTTTGTATCCTGGGTCAGACAAAAAAATTATTAAGGATTGTGGAATACTCAATCAGCTTGAAGCAGGAGATTTAGTATTGGAAGATAAAGGTTTTTTAATAAAAGACTTAATGCCTTCTGGTGTCAATATTAACATTCCATCATTTCTTACAACACAACATTTCACTGCTGAACAGGTAAGACAAACAGAATGTATTGCACAAGCTAGGATTCATGAAGAAGAAGAATAAAAACATTCAGTATATTAGATTTTATTCCATATGCTTTGTTGCCACATGCAGATGTAGTATTTCAAGTTATAGGTACTTTGACTAACTTACAGTATCCACTTATAAGAGAAGTTGAACAGTTTTATTCTGAAGGTACCCATAAACTGTAGTTTGGTATAAAAATGGATATGTATATAGTATAATAGTGTATTTAGTTTATAGTATAATAATACTAGTAACACAAATTAGCAATAAATAACTGTCCAGCACTTGTTTCATTCACACATTAGTATGATACTGCTTTATAATTCATCTGCTCTACTACAAATATAGTTTCCATTGTCTATAGCACATAATTGTGGACAAAATAATTTGACAGCTGGTAGAGAAGATAATGTCTGTAAACAATGACAAATAAAACACCAGTTGCATAAATATTGTTTTATTTTCAATCATGATAAAATATTTGACAGAAATTGTTCACTGTAAAATGATTTTAAAATATTTAAATTACTTTCCCATTCATCGTTTCTTGAAATTCTCATAACTACTTTATCTTTTGGAATCTATATCACTAAATAGCACATACCTTTATTTGTAATGTGTAACTGTCTTTGCACTTGGTGATAATAATTATAATTTTGATGAAAGGTCCAGGAACAGTTATAATACGAAACGAGATAATTTTTATTTTTAGTGAGTACCTCTGACAAATTTTCTTCATTCCTATGTTTGACTGACCAATAGTCATCTCTACAACTTTCCTTATAATATCTGCACTCAAACAAGATTTCTGTAAAAAGTAATTTTCTTTATTAGAGGTTGTTGTGTAGCTGCTCAGGAATGTCTTTGGTCAATATATACTCCTAAGAATCTACCAGAGTCTGTCAGCTTGATTTCTACCCTATCAGCTTAGTGGATCTTCGTAGCTTCCAATTTTTTCTTTAACTTGAATATTATCGCATTTGTTTTTGATATGTTCAAGGATAGACCGTTGCGAGCAAACCACCAAAATGCTTTCTCGCATATGCTCAATGTATTTTCGGTTACTTGGTTGAAATCTTGGCCAGCTATAATCACACTAGTATCATCTGCATATTGAATAGTACATACATTATTCGGGTTTGCTATGCTATCACTCAGATCATTTATAAACATCACAAAGAGGAGAGGACCCAAGACGCTTCCTTGTGGGATACCTCTATCTATTGTTAACTGCGATGAGACTGCTGTCCTGCCATTCTTTATGATGGAAACACTTTATTGGCGGTCTGTTAAATAAGACTTGACCCAGTTCCAGGCACTTCCCCTGATCTCAAATGCCTCAAGTTTACAGTAAGACAGAATGTTCTACAAAATCATATGCTTTGGAGAGATCAAAAAACAAACCCAATGATATCATATTATTTTCCAGACATTCTATAATACTGTGGCTAAAGGAGTATATAGCCGTATTTATCGATTTCCCTTTTATAAAGCCATGTTGTGATTTAGCAATTAAGTTATTACAGAGCATGTGATACATGATTCGTGAATACATCACCAGTTCGAAAACCTTTGCAAAGAAATCCAAGAAAATAACAACTGTCTTCTAAAAAGGTATGCTACAAAAATGTTCTTACAAACTACTCGATCTTTATGTTATACAGCGGTTCCGCAAGGTCTAGATGTTAAACGGGATAATTTTGACAAAAATAGCACTAATTCTGCACCAATGTATACGCTACTAGGTTGAACTAAAACTCAAGCTTATGCTACTAGTTTATTCTGATATGAATAAAGCAACTTATTTAATTGATTGAAAAATTGATATGAGAAATGTGCGATGAATGATATTTCACTGATGTCTAAATAGCACTGTTTTTGTGTACATACATCTTATCCTTTCTTTTTTCGATTGATCCATTTTTTTCATCGTTTCATAATGAATCCGAATTTTGAAATATTTTTCTAAAATTAGCTTTATAATACTAAATGAATGTCCATCAATGGATGCTCAAACTTATCTAAAATTTTTGGAGGTACTATATAGTTTCCATTGTGTTTTTAATCAAAATAGCAGGAAGATATTTGACACATGTTTATTAAATATGTCTCTAGTTTTATGAAAAAATCTGAAATACTTTTCGGCAGCTACACAAATTTGGAGTATTATGTCTGAGGGAGTAGTTAATACTCCATATGTTTTTCTTTTTTGTAAATATTTGACATTATCACCTTCGAGTACTTTAGTACATTGACTGCAAGTTATGCATTTCAGAAAACTTCTCACCACATAGCCTGAAATATATCCAACTACATCTTCAACATAATCTTTTAAATTCCAGGCTTGTGATGAATAAAACTTATAAGTAGCAATATCATTCATAATTTTTTTTTCAAAATCCAAATAGGTTTCACTACTTTTCAAATCATTGCCACTATCATCCATTGTAACCTGATGTCCACTCCCACAAGTCAGAATGGTGAGATCTTTGATGGACACATTACCAGATTCTGGTCCTGTGACCTCTGTATGTATAAGGAGGCGCTTATAAGCCGCTTCAAAATGTCTGGCTGAAGGGTTATTATTAAATCCACCCTTAGCTCTTATAGCTCCGAAAAACTGCTCTAGATGATCTTGAGAAAATTTGTTAGTTAAAATATACTTTAATTGTTCCGAGTCTACCTCTTTGCCTTCTAATTGTGATTTTTCAACAAATTTTGAATAATATTGCCTCAAACTAGTGACGCTTATCAGAAATCCTAGAAAACCTGTTTTTCTAGGGAACTGAGTTACTGGAACATCAGCCAACTTCAAATTGCTAATGTATTGGCACATTTCATCCATATAACTAAAAAAAGTTTTTGCAGTGGCTTGTGATAATGGTCGCTTAAATATGTATTTAGCCAATCTATTTCTGGAATTAAAAATGTCGAATAGATTGTTAAATTTCAGGATAAAATCGGCTGTAGGTTTCGCATTTCTAAATGATGGTATTTTCAAATCTAGACTCAAATACATCAATGCATCAGCCACACTCTTGCTTAATGTCTGAGTGGCAATTTTCACTTTCATTTTTTCTCGAGTCAACTGTAAATGTCGGTTTCTGATTTTTGTGCCTAAATGTAGTCCCTCAAAATTTTTAATTTCTACAAGCTTTTCCAAAAAAGTCCAGTCTATGGTATTATTATCATTGTCTATCAAATATTTTTGTGAGCCAAATGTATTTCTGACCAATTTCATCATGTGCGAAGGGTCCAAAAATATGAAAACCTTATTACCTGTTACTGGATGAGCAAAATGTGTTTTAAGGTTATTAATGTCCTTGAAATCTGCACCTAAACATGATGACATCGTAAAATTTACAGGAGCACCATCAAAAGTTATAGAGGTAACTATGACTCCTGACTCATGTACAAATGTGAGACATTTCTTAACTAACTCTGCTTTCTCAACACCAGTGAGGCCGTCCAAAAAAAAAAATAACCCACAGGTAACTTCCATGAAGCATTTATACAAACAAGCATAAATACTAAAACTTCTTTGGCATGAGGTAGAACATCTGAATCAAATTTAGTTCCAATATCAATATAACCAGTGAATTTTGTCTCAGTCCATTCGACCTGCTCCCTGATAGACATTTCATGTAAGACCAGGTTGCACAGGATGTTCTGGTTTTTTGACGCTAACTTTTTTACTTTCAAAGCATTTAGTGCTTCTGAAGTAAAACCAGGAGAGCCATCAATTGACTGATACCATTTAGAAATCGTGGATGGATGAGGTAAAGATTTATTAAAAGTATTCCTTACGAACTGGTATGCTTTTGGGGAGTAAAAAGATAGCGTCAAAGCAAAACATCTAATAGATGGGTCATATTTTTGTGAAGATGGGCCTTTCAACATCCTCTCGAATATTTTTTGTCCTGAGGTTGATAAAGAGGCCTAAAAAAATAAAAAGATGGGTGTAAGGTGTAATAGCACTGCTGCTCATTATTTTAGAGTTAAATCACCACATTCATCTTAAAAGGTTGACTTTGACTACCTTCTCCAGTCATTAACATACATTTAACTAGTTAAATTAAACAGGAATTGATGAAACAAGTAAATTTATTACACATTCAATTCAAAAAAAAACATGAACAATAAACTAAGTCTTTACTACTATCCAAAACTCAGTATGATTGATACCAAAGAAAAAAATTGAAATAATTTTACTTCTGTCCGTTATTATATATTATCTAATTTAGAGATTTTTACCTCAAGAACAGTCCCTGAAGAATTAGTTATATATGATTTTTCTTTAAGCAGCTTCATCAAGCCTCCTAATGTCTTGATTTTTTTCTTAAAGTATGTATTGCTAGCCTGAAGATTATGACTCTTCTTTCTCAGAGCAGTTATAGTATTCTTCATCAAATGAAAATTCTTCTTCGCCTTCTCTGGTGTAGAAAAGTCTGATGAAGATAGGTAACCCACATACCTTCTTTTTCTGAAACAATGAGATATGATTGGAATTCATCATATATGTGAAGCATATGTCATTAAAATCTTATTAGATCAGCTATTTTCTCAATATTTCTCACCTATTTTTACGTGCAGTTGCAAGAGAAACATCCTTGAATCCAGCATCAGGCTCTGGTTGGTTCTCAGTTTCTGAGACGCTAATTGTTGATGAAGAAGATCCAAAGCTTTGATCAAGATTGGAAACTGATGCTTTTTTCCTGTTGCTGACCTATAAAAATAAAATATCATAATATAATTATATTATATTAAATTATATAAAATATTTCATGTAATTTAATATTCAAAACAAAAATACTTACAAGCTGGTAGGCAAGCCAGAAATGCTGGGTAGGTACATCAAATTTCAGCCTGAAACAAAAAGCAAGTATTATATTACTATAAAATATCTAGTTCTGCATAATTCTGCAAGCTTCAGTTGAATATATTTATTTGCTTTGATATGAGAATGATCATTTACCTCTTTACATCAGGAATGTTGATGGCACATCCCCTTGAATGGCTGAGTAACTTGATCTGTTGAACTTTCGCTAATTGAAAATTCAGAACTGCCAAATCAATAAAATATCATGTAAAAATAAGCTTTGGTAGTCACAAAGCAATTAAATAACACTGTGAATTTCTTCATTTCATGTAATGTATCCATCGTTTCTACAAAAATCTGTATAATGACTCTCAAATATAGTTAAAAACTGTTGTTTAAGAATTTAATAAGACCTTCTAATTCTGTATGTGTGTTTGTATTTAGATCATTTACAACTCAAACCTAGTCCCTATACGAACAGAGAAACGAAAAAAGCTCATGAAGCTATGCTAGCAAATTAGGTACTGAAAATTACAATTTAGGTCTTTGTGTATGCTTCTAAACTTCATCAGCATTAGTCAACCTGGCATTCATGTCTTTTTTGAACAGTTCAAGCACTCCTGTGGTCATTCTTTTTTGACAAGTAATAGTGTCTGTTGTTTTGACTAAAAATAAGCTGTGGTAGTCACAAAGCAATTAAATAACACTGCGAGTTTCTTCATTTCATGTAATGTATCCATCGTTTCTACAAAAATCTGTATGATAACTCTCAAATATAGTTAAAAACTATTATTTAAGAATTTAAGGAGATCTTCTAATTCTGTATGTGTGTTTCGTATTTAGATCATTTACAACTCAAACCTAGTCCCTATGCGAACAGAGAAACGAAAAAAGCTGATGAAGCTATGCTAGCAAATTAGGTACTGAAAATTACAATTTAGGTCTTGTGTATGCTTCTAAACTTCATCAGCATTAGTCAATCAGGCATTCATGTCTTTTTTGAACAGTTCAAGCACTCCTGTGGTCATTCTTTTTTGACAAGTAATAGTGTCTGTTGTTTTGACTAAAAATAAGCTGTGATAGTCACAAAGCAATTAAATAACACTGCGAGTTTCTTCATTTCATGTAATGTATCCATCGTTTCTACAAAAATCTGTATGATGACTCAAATATATTTAAAAACTGTTGTTTAAGAATTTAAGAAGACCTTCTAATTCTGACAAATTTGTAGTTGGGTACTTCGACACTACTATTACATATTTTGAATGATTGTTTAGTTTAGTTTAGAGAACAGAGACCTTAACTCAAGTTAAATCAACAAGTGATAAATTGAAATGAAACGTGATTAACTACTTACGTTTGCAATAGAAATATCTACTTCTGGACGGACACTGTAAACGCTTCACAACACTTTCACTATTTGTAGCTGCGATTGCTCGTTCTAAGCTTCTAATTAATCCTTATTAACGGGAGGGAGCCTCATTATTAACATTTCGATAATGTTTACATTCATACATTGTAGGTTAGAAATAGGAGGTGATGCAATTAGACATACGCTTTATATCAATCGGTTGGAAAAGCGGAGGTTTATGCCATATTGTAAAATTATAACATGAATAGGGGCTTACAATCATATTTTTATCGTATTTATAAACCGATGATGATTTCAATAAATTGATGAACGTCAAATAATAATTGCAGCCTTTGGCGGTAGACATCGCAATCTGTAAACATAAAAAAACTACTAGATTCATCCGATTTTAATGGCTCTAGTCCGGTCCGTTTAGACAATGGAATATAGAAATTTTGAATCTTTTCGAAAATGTTGATTTTCACGCGCAAAAAAGGACAATTCTATTTGGCGTGATCCAATATTGGATGAAGCGATAGTCATGAAGCCGAAAATGGCACGTTTTTGACGTTCCGCTCGCACTCGCTCGCTTTCGTAATACGATCGCATCTACAATACCCCGCCTAACAGGAATCCGGGGATCTGGAGGGGAAATTCAAAATTGAAACTTCAAACTAAAAATGTGTGCATATCTTTGAATTTTCTAATCTGCCGAGTTTAAAAAATGCGATCGGGTAACGTGTCGTATGTCGGTTTAATCAGGAGACTTTGGCCTTTCGTTTTGCGAAAAAAAATCGTAGCTACGTCGCTCCGTAACGCAGGTCCGTATCGACGAAGACAAAGTACGCCGAAAAACGGTTGTCATCGGTACTTTTGAGGCGCTCAAAGTTTACTTTTTCGAAATTTGACGGTAATTCTAACGGTCAGAATCGTTTCGTCAGCTCGTTATCGTTATTTTTCGATAGCTGTATAATTTTTACTCGCTCACGTACGGTTGTAATAGGCGAAGACAGAGCCGGATGACAAAGTGACTTTTTCACGCTTCGAAATGTAGCGTATTGTCGAGGAATTTTTAAAAAATCGAAACTTTTCAACGTAAACGAATAGAAAAACGGATAAGATTGCGATCCCGTATTCGAAGTACGGGCTTTCTTATGCGACAGTCGCCAGGTCCGTATCTTCGTTATCTTCGGAGGAGATAGACCGTGGACGGCGATAAGCGCGTTTCATAAGCAAAAAAGTCATTCTTGACGACGTTCGAGGTTCGTTTATTCGAAACGGGTGCCGTAAACGGAAAAAAGTCTCTCCGCGTAATTCGTAGCGCTAGTCGAGATGTACGAAACGCGGCGTGCGAAATTTCTTTTCTCTTCGGCGTAAAGGAGATATCGAAGTTTTTACCGCGACTTGCCGTTTTTCTCGCGTTTTCTTTAACATTTTCTTAAAAAAAAACTAAGACGCGGACCGCGATCAGTTCCACCCTAAAGTGTGCGCCCGTCGTTTAGCTATCGAACGAGACCGATCTCGAGTCGATATTTCGATAAACGGCGACGCGGCAGATAAAAAAGTCTCCGTACCGTCCGAAAAACGGTCGATTTTTCGACTTTACCGGCCGTTTTCGATCCGATCCGTTCCTCTCACCGCGACGGCTCTCGCCCGCCCGTAAAGCGCCGAGTTT